GTAGTCCCGTCCTTTCGTGGCTCTTTCATTGACATACGAATTTGTAGGTCCTCCCCTAGTGGTTCTGTAATGTTTGGCTCAAGAGTCTGGCCTGGCTGGTCTTTTAAAAGCACCCCATGCTGTCGAAACCACTCCTGCATGTGAGAGGCCCGATGCTTTGAGTCGCTGCTCTGCTGACAGACAAAGCCAGGTCGTGTGGCAGCCATGTCTACGGATACATGACACCTTCCAAAACATGACAGCAAACGTCTGCCTTCATCGCTACCTCAGTCGTGTAGCGTGGTCCCACTTTTTTCCAAGGCAACCTTATCAAGCCTCCGCCAAGTTTCACAATTGGCAGCTGATTCTTTGGATCAAAACGTTCCCTCTCGTGGTGCCGTACATTACTAGTATCCTTGCTGTCATGCATCAGTAATATGTTTTTGTCACTCCAGATGATCTTAGAAACCTGTATCAACCTTCGTTTCAGGCTTAGTCAATCACATTCTACTCCCACCCACTTCACAGCGAGCGCTCTTCTTAGACTTTGAGAACTAAGGAATACGTAGTATAGACTTAGATTCTAGAAGATGTTATGTATCCGTAGACATGGCTGCCACACGACCTGGCTTTTTGTCTGTCAGCAGTGCGGCGACTCAAAGCATCGGGCCTCTCACATGCAGGAGTGGTTTCGACAGCATGGGGTGCTTTAAAAGACCAGCCAGGCCAGACTCTTGAGCCAAACATTACAGAACCACTAGGGGAGGACCTACAAATTCGTATGTCAATGAAAGAGCCACGAAAAGACGGGACTACAGAGAGAGACCCCACTAAAGAGTGAGTTCATTAGTTGACCCGCATTCAAATCCATTTTTATTATATATACCAGTTTGGCTGCGCACGCATTCGCGTGCATGAGACGGGGCTGCAGCGGTAAAATCGGGCCCATCAGTATTTTTGTCTTGATTTTAGCTTTCTGCTCGGTACATCTTACTTACGCCGCAAACTCCGCCCACATCCGGGTGTGCCACGCCCAGCGTTCACATTCAACCTCTACTCCTACTTTCACCTCTGGCGTATTTTTTTTCAGGTCTCTAAGTCATCTCGGAGCCGAATTATGAGGTCTTGTAAATGGCGTTATGAGTCACGAATTTCTGAGGCAGACCCCGCCCACTTTGGTGCATGCTTAGCCCAACAATGGCATTCAACCCTACTCCATACCTCAATACTTATGCACATTTTCCCCGGTCGCCGGAACTTCTAGGAACCGAGTTATGAGAGCGGTGGCAAACTCCGCCCACATCCGGGTGTGCCACGCCCAGCGTTCACATTCAACCTCTACTCCTACTTTCACCTCTGGCGTATTTTTTTCAGGTCTCTAAGTCATCTCGGAGCCGAATTTATGAGGTCTTGTAGGGGACGAAATCGAGCTACGTATCTTTGTGGCAAACCCCGCCCACTTTGGTGCGTGGGTCGCCCACTGATATCAGTTGACTATCATCTCTTCCCCAACCTTTTTCTACTTTTTTCCCATCTCCAGAACTTATTGGAACCGAGTTATGAAGTACCGTGGCAAACCCCGCCCACTTTGGTGCATGCTCCGCCCAACAACAGCATTTGACCCCTTTCCCTCGGCAACCCTTATCCACTTTTTTCCCGGGCGCTGGGGCTTCTAGGAACCGAGTTATGAGAGCGGTGGCAAACTCCGCCCACATCCGGGTGTGCCACGCCCAGCGTTCACATTCAACCTCTACTCCTACTTTCACCTCTGGCGTATTTTTTTCAGGTCTCTAAGTCGTCTCGGAGCAGAATTATGAGGTCTTGTAGGGGACGAAATCGAGCTACGTATCTTTGTGGCAAACCCCGCCCACTTTGGTGCATGGGTCGCCCACTGCTATCAGTTGACTATCATCTCTTCCCCAACCTTTTTCTACTTTTTTCCCATCTCCAGAACTTATTGGAACCGAGTTATGAAGTACCGTGGCAAACCCCGCCCACTTTTGGCGCATGCTCCGCCCGCCAACAACGGTTGACCCCTTTCCCTCTGCCAACCCTTATACGCTTTTTTCCCGGACTCCGGGACTCCTAGGAACCGAGTTATAAGCCTAATTGCAAACTCCGCCCACTTTGATGTAAGCCACGCCCATTCTGACATTTAGCTTCCCCTCCCCTCCTGACCTCTATCCGCTGTTTTCCGGTCTCTAAGTCATCTCGGAGCCGATTTATGAGCTCTTGTAGAAAACGCTGTCCGCTTCACGACACGCTCCGCCCATTGTGGGCGGGCCTCCGTTCACATCATGCGTGCTGGAAATACCTTAGGCATTGCTCCCCTGCACTAATTTCGTTTCTGGTCTGTAGGCTTCCTCTTAACCGAGTTATGAATATTTTCACTGAGCACCCATTTTCTAGAGAACGCCCCGCCCACCGAGGGTGGGTCTCCTCAGTTCGATCTGGCTTACCAACCCACACCTATACCCACTTTTGTCCCGGTCTCGAGGCTGTTTTGTGACTGAATTTGAAATCATGGTCCTCAGTACCACTCATTTCGACGCACGCCACGCCCACTGTGGGCGGGGCTCCGCTTAGGTAATGTATGTTTTTTACTTCTCGAGATATGGTACACCCATCCCATACTTGACCTGGACCCAGTAGGTTGTTGTCCGCTTAATACGGAATTTCGTGACAGACAGACAGACAGACAGACTTAGCGCATTATATTATAGTAGGCATTGCTCCCTGCACTAATTTCGTTTCTGGTCTGTAGGCTTCCTCTTAACCGAGTTATGAATATTTTCACTGAGCACCCATTTTCTAGAGAACGCCCCGCCCACCGAGGGTGGGTCTCCTCAGTTCAATCTGGCTTACCAACCCACACCTATGCCCACTTTTGTCCCGGTCTCGAGGCTGTTTTGTGACTGAATTTGAAATCATGGTCCTCAGTACCACTCATTTCGACGCACGCCACGCCCACTGTGGGCGGGGCTCCGCTTAGGTAATGTATGTTTTTTACTTCTCGAGATATGGTACACCCATCCCAAACATGACCTGGACCCAGTAGGTTGTTGTCCGCTTAATACGGAATTTCGTGACAGACAGACAGACAGACAGACTAGCGCTTATATATAGTAGGATACTTTAGAGAGTTCTGGGCAATGTGCTAGACTTGCTTAATGTTAGTGACTGTTTACTTGACTGTTCTGTTGGGTTATACATTATTTAAATCAAATAAACGGATCAAGTGATCTTTCACCTGCCTTCATTAATTTCGAAAAATCTAAAATTTTCTAAACCCAAATTTGAGCTGAAGGTTGAAATTTTCTGTGTGGATCATAAAACACGTAGTTAATAATTGTTGCAAATTTGGAGACGTTCCAGTGACTTTTAAAAGAGAGAAAATCAATTTGGAGACGCTCCAGTGACTTTCAAACAGAGAAATCATGGAAAAACTGTCATAAATTTCTGGCCACTACTGTACGTGTGAAAATTTCGACACAATTTTCATAAAGATCGTCAATATGACTGCATTTTCGGACACTCACCATTTCCATGATTGTTGACGTTATGCTCAACGATTCCGCTCTGACGCTTCGAAAGCAAGTCAATGCTTTCTGTAAAGAATGGGAGGTGTGGTCAGGGTCGAGCGTATCTCACGGAATTATTTGCGACGGGAGTGGGGTTGTATTTTGTTTACCAGGAGAGATATCATAAGAGCTGCGATCATCAAAATGCTTAGGAGGGCTATGCAGTAATTTCAGGCTGCTATATGGTCTTAGTACGAATAGAAATACAAGGCTGGCTTGGCAAGCCACCCCATTCCCCATTTTATTTTCCTGTTTTTCGATTATAATTTTGAGGTATTCGGAGTTTGGGACTCGCTGAACCAACTGGGAAATAAATTGGGGGGGGGGGGGGGGTAAAGCGACATAAACCGGTCTGAGTGAGAGCTTCAGAGGAATTGCTCCAGAGCCACAATTTCCAACATATTCGCGAAGAGTATAATTTCGGGATCATTTCAATACCCTGGTTCCGTGGGCGTAAAGGAAATCCAAACTGGGGAAAAATTTGAAGTTTCACGATCTTTGAATTTTGACGTTAGGTCCGGTCATAAAGCAACTTTCTCTGACAACCGCGAGCGGGTTTCAAAAACCCCACCCTGTAGATCTAATTACTGCGCCACGAGCTCAACCGTGACTGGGGCGAGGCGTCAAAGCGCTACAGAAGTGAATCATGGTGAAGCTTCCATCTTCTCTGCTTTGAATTGCTGAAATTTCGAAAGAAGCCGGTTTACAACAATCACGAGGTCATGCTCTTCTCGAACTTGCTCAAAATTGTGGCTTCAAAACACCCTTTGTGCTTTCTCAGTTGGACTGGAGGGTAAGGAGGCTGTCGTGTTGCTCGCTGTTCGTGCCACGCGGGATCGCAACTCTGAATCCTTCAATGAAGATTCCAATGATGAGAACCAGGAGTTTTCCAGAACATCAGATTTGCTCCGAGAAGGCTATCCAAAAGTCTTAGGAACATTTTTGGCCCATTGTTGCAGATGTTACGACAAAGTAGTGGTGTTTGCAACGGACAAATCCATCGCAGAACGTCGATTTTACAAAAGTTAGGCAAATTTCAGACTTCGCAAATCCAGCAATTCGCTAGCGAATCGCTGGATTCGAGAAGTCTGACATCGGCCTTAGGGGACAGCTTATTATTTAAATTCCAAGCCACCAGCCATCATATGTGCTTAAAGGAATCCTTCATCGAGAAAAAGCTTTCCGCGCCTTCCATTTTTACTACAAGACAGAAAAACGATTACCTTTAGCCCCTAGCCTCATGAGCATAGCAAAAAGAACGGAACATAAGCGTTAGTTTCGATAATACTAATCCTACACACAAGACAAAATGATCACTCTTTCCGTGGAAGATTCCTTTAAGGTATCGTTTTCTGTGGTAATGGAGGCGGAGCTTTTTCGCGGAAGATTCCTTTGAAATAAGCATGTCTATCTGGTAGAGAACGAATATCCTTTATTCAGGTGAATAAGGAATCAGCTCAACGACCTGCTCGTGATTCAGGTCCAACCAAGGCCGGCACTGCAGCGCAAGCTAATATAATAAAAGCATCTGATTTCACATTCCTCAATGTGCTTGGGAAAGGGTCCTTTGGAAAGGTACGTTCAGATTCAGTGCGATATTAAAATCTTTCTTTTTTAAACGGTTATCTGAAAGCTCAAAAATAGGGATTTCTTATCTAGTTCGATAGTGAAAATTCCAAATTGCAGAAATGGAACAGGTTCTTATTATTTGCATGACGAGTTCCGAATAGCGCCGAAAAATTGTGGTATAGTGAATCAGATTTGCAACCTGAGAATGAAAATTCCAATGTTAGTAGGCCTGCAAAGGTTTCATTCAAAGGCACGGTTTAGGAGTGGCACTTTTACGTGTTCCATCCACGATTGCGGTAGACAGGCGGACAATCTTTATCTTCATCAATTGACGTAGACAAGGTCCACGTGTGTATGACATCTCAAGCAAAAACAATAAGAGCATGTTTAATTTCTTTTTTCTTGGCTTGTGAAGAGTGCGTGGACAAAGGCGGCCAAGAAGCTCGCTCGACCTCATCCCCAACACCCCCCTGTCGTCTGCAAGGCTCCGGCTTGCCGTGCTTATAATGCCACCGCTGCGCGCTTGCGAGGGAGCACGGCCATAGTTGCGCCTTGCAGCTTGATGTTGTTGGCATTGTAGCAATTGGAGGTAGCCGTTTGTGAAACTTGTCCAAACACGCTCCTTTCTCATTCCAAGACGGAATGCAACTGGAGAAGATGGAGGCTTTTGGGGGCGTAATCGGGGTCTTTTGCTTTCTTTTCCTTTTCCAAACTACTCCTCACCTCCACCTCCGCAATGAGCGCTCTACACCCATTTGATCCCATAGCTTGCACGAGAGCTGTTGCCAAGGAACTCAAACACATTCGTCAAAGACAAGCAATGTGGTGGGACTTTCGGGTCTGCACGTGGGGGAAACACACCCAAGTTCTACTTTGTCAACAACATTGCAAAAGGGCAAAATTCAGCACAAAATTGAGCTGGCTCATGCACAGTTGGTGGAATTAGCTTGGCGTAATTTGTCAAAACTTGATGATAGGTAAAGGCTAAGGGGGATCGACGTCAATTCCCATCTCGGGTGCAATGTGTACTTCCATCGGAAAATCTCGTGTGGCTTTTGAATGAGATAGTGGCCGTATGACAATGAAAGTAGCAAGTGGCCAGCCGATGTACAGTCAGTGTTTTTATCCTTTCAGGTAAGTCTGGTCTAGTAAACTGACCCCAGAAGGCTTGCTTGACCCACACTAAGCAAGACTCAGGAAGGCGCGCGTGGTGAGCAGCGCCACTTGCCACTGCACCAATTATGTACTTACAAACTTGTCACACAAATCTATTATAACATCTGGTTTCTACCACCGTCAGATATATCAAGATAGGTTCTACTAGGTTAACCAGCTTGAAAATTTCGCCTTCTGTTTGTTCCATCAAAAATTGGGATTTCCAAATATTCAAATTGCGGCCTCTTGTATCCTGAGAGAAAGAAAGGGGGGAAAAGGGATTCTAAGAAAGGATTTGTTTTTTTTTTTTTGGAGAAAAATTATCGATTGAAGTGGCAGCGAAAAACGATTACTTACACTTCTCGTTTCGACTTCAGATTCATTCAAATAATACATGCTCAGAACTCAGTGATTCTTTCCAAAAAATACATAGTACATGTTTGCGGATGCTGAGTGGGGCGGAAACAACCAAGTTTGCTTCACGTATATAAGATGTAGTCTGTACCATTATACTTGTCACCGTAGCACTCATAGCAACCTAATTCATGCATAATCCTTATAAGTAGTGCAGTGTAGGACATAACATTGCCTTGAAATGACTCACGTTTTAGGAACGAAACACACAATGCTTTTAGAAAAGGTCGTTGTGGTGCTATCTCTTATGAATCTAACGGACTGAGGTAATTAAGTACTTTGGATTGCAGGTACTGCTGGCCGAGCATAGGGTTACCAAAGAACTCTTCGCCATCAAAGTGCTGAAAAAGGATGTCATTCTACAGGACGACGATGTGGAATGCACTATGACAGAAAGACGAGTTTTAGCATTGCCCGAAAAGCCACCATTCCTAGTTTCGCTTCACAGCTCCTTCCAAACGATGGTATGTTAAAAAATCGTTTCCTTATATTTTTCAAAATAAACAAGCAATGCTCATCATTTTGTTTTACAGGAATCGTATCTTTATTTTGTTATTGAGAGTTCATAAACGGGGAGAGATTTGATGTACCAGATACAGCAAGTTGGTAAATTTAAGGAACCAGTGGCGGTGTGAGTTTTAAAAAATAGTACTGACAAAAAAAATCGTACAAGTGAGCAAAAGTGTGTGCGATTTAAAGTTTCCGGGGAACTGGAACTCGTGGGTCGCATGCTAAAATTTTAGGTCCAAATTTTAGCATGCTAGACGTAGGACGTATTTTTCGCTAAACGAACATACCTGTGTTGATTGCAATGAAGAGTGAACACTGCAGGATTTGTTTGATAATTTCTCGAAGATGAGGAAATTTTGCAAACCACTAAACCAGGTGCAATATTTTGTAGGAAATTCAGCTGATACCTTAGGAGAGCCTAAACATGGAATTGCGAATGAGCATTATTCTTCGAATTGGATGAGTGTCTCTTCTCTACTCTTAGATTTTTTTTTGTTCTGAACACATTGTCGCGCAAACAAGTAAACTTGGAAACACCTTCGAATTCGTGCCATGAGGAATCACTGCCGCATGGCAAAGCATGGTTGAGGTTGTTGTCTTGCTGCAAGACAGAGCCAGTACCGTGCAAGTGCCACGCGCATGAGTACAAATATCTTCTGAAAATGTGGACGTCGAAATTCATTACATCTTGAATTCTGTGACGTGAGAGGAAATTCCAAAATTCTTCTTCTCTTCTTCTTCTTCTTCTTAGCGTTGTTGTCCAACTTTCGTCGGGTACGCTCTTTTCACCAAGGCTTTCCAGCGATCTCGATTCCATGCATCGTCTGCAGACAGGTCAGCAGCATTCATGTCGATCTTCACGTTGTCCATCCATCGTAATTTGGGTCTGCCTCTCGGGCGTGTACCAGTGAAGGTAATACTATCGGCTGATCTGGACACGGTGTCTGGAGGCCTTCGCAAAATGTGACCATACCAGCGTAGGCGAGAGGAGGCAAGGGAATTGACGATCGGTTGGACCTTGATCTTGTCTCGAATGTCTTCGTTCCGAATGTGGTCGAATCGCGTGTGTCCCAGACTCCATCGTAACATCTTCATCTCCATAGACCCATATGCTCTCGTTTCGTCAGCCGTCATCTGCTTCGTTTCCGCTCCATAGATGGCGACTGGTCTCACGACTGAGGTGTAAATTTTAGACTTCAGGCGGATCGGCATTTTCCTGTCACAGAGAACGCCAGTGACAGTCCTCCATTTGTTCCATGCAGCGTTTATTCTAGCAATTGTATCGGCTTTACTATCGGCGTCCGCGGCCAGTGTGGACCCTAGATACGGAAACTTGGTGGTCTTGGGTAGGGATGCTCCGTCTACTGTGATCGAAGACTCTGTGGCCGTTGTGCACATGTATTCTGTTTTGTTGATGTTGAGCCTGAGTCCATGGTCCTTGAAGTCAAATATCCAATGATACACGTCGGTAGATCAATAATCGAGCCAATCGATCAATATGCCACGAGGGTCTTACACCGTTGATATTCAACCTCAAAGTTGGGTTAAACTTTATTCTACCTTTTTATAATAATAATCAACGATATATAACATTTAAGAAAGTAGAAGCGAATTAGGCCAATAGGAAGATAACTGAACTATTATAAACGATTTCTAAGATGAACCTGCCTATAACGTCGTCCGCGGTCTTGTCGTGTCGAGGGGACGCGATAATCTTATAGTGCACACCGAGAATATATAAAAGAAGAAACTATAATCTTATAGTGCCACGATGCTACGATTATAGTGCTCTGAAAGTAGGATTTAAGTTATTGTGCTTTAACCTAAGTGACAAAGCATTATACAAACAAAGAAGAAAAGAAAAAACCCAAGCCACAAAAGATGAGCGTCAACTGCAACTCACAAGCGGCTTATATGCGCGCCGTCCATTACAATGCATTAGGCTGAGCTTGGGAGCAATCAGATAAGGCGCCGTCGAAGAAACAATTTCAATGTAAAGCACAGAAACAGAGCAAGCGATATGTACAGCATTCATAAACATAATTCCATTACTCTGAGAATATACCAGAATCAATCAGATAACGAAATTCCTGATCATAGAACCTGCAATGAAGAGTTTAGGTCATAGTGCAAATTCAAGAGAATACTGAATTACTTCAGTATAGTCCTTTAGCTGTTTCATCCACTGATTGACGCGTTCTCTAATTTCATTTTCGACCGATCCATTAGCAGTATATCATCAGCGTACCCAAGCGTCATCGGGGGCTCTTTCCGAATTTTCCTCGACGCATAGTCCATACATAGAATGAAGAGTAATGGTGAGAGGGCCGACCCTTGATGAACTCCAACTGTGACTGGGAACTGTGAGGTATCACCTACAGGTGTTCGGATGGCAGTTGAGGAATTAAGGTAGGTTAGCTGCACAGCTTTAACGAGTGCTTCTGGTATTTGTTGGTATCGGAGCG